AGTTTGTAGTGGCCCTACTTTCTGTGCCAGCGGTCGCATGTTCGAGTCCCGCTGGGGGCATTCATTTGTGTGATGAGCACGAATGTTTGTACTCCAGTCATGGGTATTTATATTTATAATATGTATGTATTTAAAAGTTATATATGTGTAGTGTATTAACTATCTGGTATCCATAACACAAGCCTCGTAGCTTACCATAGAACTAGATGGTGCTGTGTGTTAATGTCCCAACATATTTATTTATTTATAATCTGATTATACAATATCTGCCTTTTCTCTATATTTTATTACCGTAATTTTTATAATGGAATGTAGTTTTACTTTGTACGAGTATTAATGTATATTAATATTATCCTACAGATAAAGAGATATAATTTTTATTCATACATATGAATGTCTGATCATACGACATGTATCATTTTAATATATTTTAGTATTATTTTTTTGGGAAATATCACTCTTTATGCGAAATGTAGTAATTCTGTATAAATAACAAGGCTAGTATAGCGAGTAATCTATACTAATATTGATTGTTTTTGTTTGTGTTTGTTTGTTGATTTGTTTGTACGGAATATGCTCCGTAACTACGATACAAACTACGTAAGAAGATAGTTTGATACCCTGAAAAGGACATAGGATAGTTTTTATCCCAGAAACCATCACTTAAGGTGAAAATGGGGATGAAAATTTTTATGGGGAAGCAACTTAGGGACGAAGCCAAGTAAAGCGAGGCTGAGTCGCTAGTGTTTAATAAGAATAAAATATATTGACGTGTTTTTCATCATTTCTCTGAATTATTATATATTGAAAAGGAAACGATGAATATAATTTCCGATGAAGTTTGCCAACAATGAGTAAGCTCTTGAATGCAACCTTGAAATTCCCGATGCATTTCCACAACAATGACGCTTCAGACAAGCTTACAAAATGTTTGATATAACTCTTTTAACGTGGACTTCAATAGGAAGAGTGCAGTCAACAGAGACTGTAAGCTTATTTTCTTTAACGATTTACCCCGACTTTACTCGTCCATACGTGTCTAATAGTAGCATATTATGTTCTTAGTATAAAGGTTTCATTTTTATATATGAGCCTTTTAGGGGAAAATAATATATCTATTTGATTAATTTGTAATGATTTCTGTATGAAACATTTAGTTATATGACCTTTGCGGATAGGAATGTATTTAAAAAAAAACAACAAGGACGTGGATATTCATTTGTTTTCCCGCGTTTTTGCACGGAGATGTCGGTACTACCTTGTAGTGACTAGTCATGAATTGTTTGTAATATTGTAAATTATTATTATATACTAGCGACTTGCCCTCACTTCGCTCGTGTTCGTCCCTAGCTTGATTCTCTATACAAAATTTCATCCTCATTTTCATCCCCTTAAGGGATGATTTCCGGGATAAAAAGTGTCCTATGTCCTTCTCAAGGTCTCAAGCTATCTTCTTACCAAATTACATCTAAACCGGTATAGGAGATCCAGAGAGTACTACCCCCTACAACATCACAACTATAACTCACAAACTCACAAACTTTACCTCTTTATAATATGTAACTCATTATTTAAAAGCAACCGTTCAGTTTCTCGCCGGTTCTCTCAGCAAAAATGCTTTCCGAGCCGGTTGTAGCTTTCATACGAACAGACATACTGACGATTATAAAAGAAATAATTTGATATTGCAAAAGTACTGAATGTATATATATATATATATATATATATATATATATATATATATATATATATATATATATATATGCAAGGAATATCTTGAAGTTTTACTCCCTACACACCTGTGCTTCCCTAGGAGTCTAAAAAAGTCTAAAAAAGGTAAGTTAAACTCCATTTTTATATGCGTATGTCAATTTATCCAAGCACTGTAATTTTATCCAAATCAGCTCAGTCGTTTCAACGTTTCACATAGACATACAAACTTTCACATATACAATAGAAGCTCGATTTCTTATATCTACTATTTACGTTGAAAGTAATGGCTCTATGAAAGTCTTTCGTATGAATACTTTAGTCGATGTTTGACAAAACTGTACGATGTAAAGTGTAGTTTATTCCTTCGCTTACAATTTCAGCTGCACGTTATTATGATTTTTGCATTTACATGTCAGTTTTCGTACGTCAAGCGCTTGAATGATTTTTTGTATTGTTTCATATTAAAATTGAATGCTTTTGTTTTAAAAATATCTATCGTTCTTTGTGTTCATCATTTGTATCACTGGAGGAAATGTAAGCTTATATCAAGGTTAATTTTGAGGTTTTTATTGTTCAAGCATTACTTTTTGCCCGCAGTTTTGTCTGTGTGGCCTTCTATTATTATTAGTTAAACTTATAATGGAGTTTTCTTTTATATTTTGAAATTAAGTTCAGTTTTTAAAGAAATTTTTGACTACAATATACATACATACTAATCAAAAACATCTTATTTTTTATGAGATTCACTTGTCTATAATAAGATTTACTTATTTTTGAGTATTGTATAAATGGTTAGTGTACGAAGTATATTTTCTCGGTCTGTTTGTTTATTTTCAAGGCTTAATACTTGAATTATAGTATTGCTGTTAGTACCATCTATTATGACCCTTTTATACTGTTTTTATCTTCAGTTATATAAATATATTAATAACTCACCCTGGTTTCGCTTGGGTTCGTCCCTAGGTACGTTTTTGTATTAGGTAAAGGTATATTTTAACGTTTAAATTACGGTTACCGGTTAAATTAAATCGGTTATAACCATGTATATAATATATATACATATCAATACAATCATCATAATTTATTATGGGTTGTATTGTAACGTCCCCCCCAAGGTGCGTTAACCTTGTCGTGGTGGGGGGGCTCAGTAGTGCCCGGCAATCCAACCGGGCGCGAAGCCAAGAAACGCACAGGGAGGTGGTCCACTTCGGTGGGCGGCGGTAGGTGGCCCTCTTTGGAGGGCGGTGTACCATGCGGGTTGCTCCTGGTACTTCTCTGATAGCAGAGTGGACCTTGGAGCAACCCCGTGGTTGTTGTGGTCTGCTTCGGCAGACCTGCCGTCGGGGCGTCGTAGTTGAATGCGTAAGCGATCCTGCGACGCCCCATTAAGACGGGGGAAGGTTTTGTTGGGTTTTAGTGGGTAGTACTGGCTTTATTACGCCGGTGAGTCCCACATCTCGTGCGTAAATGCATTTCCCAACGTAAAAAAAATGGGTTGTATTGTAACGTGTTTTCCCGTGGGAATGAGATAATCAGCCGCGGTAAAAAGTAAACCATGTCACTCTCCAGCCCTCCAACTGTCTCCACACAAAAGATCACGCCAATACGTCACTCTGTTTCGACGTGAAAAAAGGACAAACAAATAAACATACTTTTACATTTATAATAATAAAAGTTAAGATAAAAACTAGACTTAGACTTACTTGACTGATTACAATGAAATTTGCACAAAAGCTCTTTACAACGAAGATAAGTACTAAAGACTAAAGATCGATTTTCTGAAAGTTCTCCTAATAGGATGATATTTGTGTCCCCCTCAACGTGCGTTCACCTTGTCGTGGTGGGGGGGCTCAGTAGTAGTAGCGAAGCTAAGAAACGCACAGGGAGGTTGCCCACTTCGGTGGGCGGTGGGAGGTGGCCCTCTTTGGGGGGCGGTGTACCATGCGGGTTGCTCCTGGTACTTCTCTGATAGCAGAGTGGACTGTGGAGCAACCCCATGGTTGTGGTGGTCTGCTTTGGCAGACCTGCCGTCGGGGCGTCGTAGTTGAATGCGTAAGCGATCCTGCGACGCCCCATTAAGACGGGGGAAGGTTTTGTTGGGTTTTAGTGGGTAGTACTGGCTGTATTACGCCGGTGAGTCCCACACGTCGTGCGTAAATGCATTTCCCAACGTTAAAAAAAAAAAATGATATTTGTGTAGATGTTCAGTGTTCGTCATTTTTTAATCTGAAAGATGATAGTTAGATATCCGTTTAGATGTTTGTTTGAAATTGAAAGTTAGTATCATTGGTCTAGTTCTTTAGAATCCAAAAAAGTATTATTTTAAAAATATTTTAAAAGAAAGGGGTTTCATTTTATATATTTTTTAATATTATTTATAACTTTGAAAAGCCATTCTTGCTTTAAGCATTGAGCCAAAATTACTCTATATCATTGGCTTGGGCATAATGTACTATAGCTTTGAGATTTACTTTGAAAATCTGTATCGATATAAAAACTTTTTAACAAAAAATAAAAACCGACTTCCAGGCACTAAAATGTGAAAAATAACTACACGGAGGTTTTCGTTTAGAATAGATACCTAATCAGATATTTTCGAAGTCGGTGCCAGCCAATGCAAAGCAAATCTAATATATTTCGATACGTAAAATACATATTTACCTATAAGATATTCATATCTTAAGAAATTGTAGGCTGGCACCGACTTCGAAAATATTTGATTAGGTATCTATTCTAAATGAAAACCTCCGTTTAGTTATTTTTTATATTTTAGTGCCTGGAAGTCGGTTTTAATATTTTGTTAAAACGTTTTTATTTTTCTATTTTTAGTGTAGACGTAATAAACAGGTAATTTGTAAGAAGAAAGTTTATTAATAACATATTTGATTAAACAATTTATTTACAAAAAAAATGTATTGTTGACTTTTTTTAAAAACCGCTCGACCGTTTTCGATAAAATTTGTATGGGACCACCTGGGAAGTATACCCTATGAAACAAAAAAAAATTCAAATCGGTTCAGGCGTCTTCGAGTAATCGGTGAACATACATAAAAAAAAGATTCCGACGAATTGAGAACCTCCTCCTTTTTGGAATTGGAAGTCGGTTAAAAATTGATTGTAAGTTGTCACTTCCCTATTCATACAGTTCTAAAAAGTGTCTCCCGCACCATGCAATGCACATACATTAAAACCATCGAGTTTGTGCTTATTTGATTGGTTTTGTCAAATAACATACCGTCAAGTTGGCCAAAAACATATTTTTTTAATTTTCTTGTTTTTTTTTTCAGGTTAATAGCTTTAATTTGGTGGCCGATCCATTTGGTATTGGTCTTATAGGTGTATACGATTTTGGAACTATGTCGCCATATACAATGGTGGATAATGCAATACTAATGTTCACAATAATATTTATATGCACGGCCTTTGTCCGTTCTTTGATAGTACGTGTGCTGTATTTGGCTATAACTAACTGTGTCAAAATACCGATGGTAGATTCACCTCACTACTTGCTCTTTTCTATACTGCCACTAAGCTCAGAATTTATGGATGCACACAAAATTTTCGTATTATATGTATATTCTTACCTTTCCGCTGCATTGGTAGCCTGTTTGGTGAGTATCGTTTGATATTTTATTTTATAATTAGTTATTTCGTGCGGTTTTGTTCGTGTATGTCGGTAGATCATTTAGTTGATAGCCACTCAACGTAATTCGCGCTTTAAATGAGAGAATGCAGAGCGTGGAGTTTAAACAATAAACATGTATGTATTAAACATATTTTTTAAATTTAATATTCATATTATTGTAATAAAGTACAATTAAAAATAATAACAGAAGAAAATAATGATATACAATTATATATAAAATTGCCGTGCGATAAAGATTTCAAAAAAATAATTGAACCAAATATTACACACTATAATCATATTCTCTATTAAAATGTGACTAAAATACAATTTTAAAATAATACCTTGTTTTCATATGATGTGTAACTACAAATCAGATCTATAGACATTTTATAGGTAATATAAAATGTACCTAGATTTAAATGAGACTAGCGGCTCACCCTCGCTTCGCTCGAGTTCGTCACTAGTGACAACACAAAAACAAATTTTCCCACGGGAAACGTACATTTTTCCGGGATAAAAAGTAACCTATGTGCTGTTCCAAACTATTACTGTGCTAAATTTCAGCCAGATCCGTTAAGCCGTTCTAGCGTGTTTGAGTAACGAATGTCCATCCATCCAAAATTTCACATTTATATAGTAGTAAGATCGCATTTATATTGTACTAGCTGTGACCCGCGGTTTCACCCGCGTTCTATTTGTTTGACTATAACCATCAGTTTTATGTATAAAAGACACATTAAATGTATAAAAGTCTACTCGATTCGTTGACATTTATGATTACTGCTCCACTCTCTTGGGTAGTAGCATGATGAAAATATATAGCCTATAACTTTCCTCAATAAACGGGCTATCTAATGCAAAAAGATGTTTCCAAATCGAATTAGTAGTTCCTGAGATTAGCGCGTTCAATCAGACAAACAAACAAACAAACAGCTGCTTTATAATATTAATATAAATTCTCTTTGATCTATATTCTATCAATTCCTACACACGTATGTACACTGTATATATACGAGTGCTTTTGATTAATATGTGTAGGATTAAGCTTATTGTCATGCACGACGTTAGTGAGGCTGGCGTTAATAACCACGACACAGTTTTACACTAATCTCGTTATTATCGTTCAGTTGTTTTTGTTAAACATATATTAAACTAGCGACTCACCATCGCTTCGCTCGGGTTCGTCCCTAGCTTGCTTCCCTATACAAACTTTCATCCCTATTCTCACCCACTTAAGGGATGATTTCCGGGATAAAAACGATCCTATGTCCTTTCCAGGGTCTCCAACTATGATCTTACGTCACTCACTTTTCAAAACATGAGATTTAAAAAATAACTTATTTAGTAAAAAAAAAATCTTTTAATTTTCTTCTATACAAAGCTTGTTCTGACAAATACAAAAAAAATATTCAACTTGGTGCAGTCTTTATATATAACTTCCGATCGTTATACGCGTACATATATTTCGTTGATCCATTTTTATTTGAATGAAATAAAAATTAAATGTAATTGTACCAAAAGTCACGTCCGCGCGGAATTCTGACAAGAATGCTCGCTGCATTCGCCGCTGAATCGCAATACCAATTCTAGCCAAAAAAATGACCCCTTTGCCGTATCAAATGGATGTGACACAACCTGGTGTTCTAATAACGAATGAGAGAGATATATAGGTAGATAGAATATATGAATAATAAATTAGTTTGTTTTTAATTTTATCATTTTTTTTTATTTAAAGCAAATAATTTTGTCCAAGGTTCATATTTACATATATTAAATTATAATTAATAACTAGCATTGCCCGCGGCTCCGCCCGCGTTCAGATGACCAAGAACCAAATTCTTAGGTTTTACATATTAGTATACTCTATTAGTTTATTCTAATCGAATAAGGAATTTATTGTTTACAGGCTATGTTTACTGCAACATTATCTCGATTACTGCACAGTGAATACCGTTCTGTGAAGAATGTTTATATCGTGGGATTATTATGTTTCTTGGGATTTACACTTACCACACCTCTGACTGTGGTATGTGATAATTTTATTTTTATATAATAATAATAATGAAAATCACTGTCTCATCAAGACGGTGAAATTTCAATATAAATATTTGTATATCTTTTTGAGGACACGTTTGGCTCAATTTGTAGTGACCCTACTTGTTGTGCCGGTGGTCGCGGGTTGGAGTACCGCTGGGGGCATTCATTTGCTTGCCTTGATTTGTATTGGCTGGCACCGACTTCGAAAATATCTGATTAGGTATTTAATATCTATTCTAAATGAAAACCCCCGTCAGTAGTTATTTTTTACATTTTAGTGCTCGGAAGTCGGTTATTGTTATATTTTTTTAAGTTTTTATTTTCATTTTTAGTGTAGACGTAATAAGCAGAATTAATAATTTCTAAGAAGAAAGTTTTTAATGACATATTCGATTAAGCCATTTATTTATAAATATTTTATTGTTGATTTTATTTAAAACCGCGCGACCGATTTTGATAAAATTAAAATGGGATCACCTGGGAAGTATACTTATTGAACTAAAAAATAATTTTCCAAATCGGTTCAGGCGTCTTTGAGTAATCGATGAACATACACAAAAAATACATACAGATGAACATAGAATAAAAGCATTTTACTAAATGCACATGAAATTATATCCGGTACTTATAGGAAAAACTTATTTTATGATTTTTGTGTCTGTATGTATGTCTATTTGTTCCGGCCAATCTCCGTAGCGGCTGGACCGATTTTGACGGGACTTTCACTGGCAGATAGCTGTTGTTATAAGGAGTAACTAAGGGTACTTTTGTTTTAGAAAAGGAATTAGGGTTCCGCTGAATAAAAACGTAACTAAGGATTTTGTTAGTGTTTACTATTTTATAAAAGTAAACTTATAAACTTTGATAAGAACTTCGTGTTCTCCTCATGCCTCGTTGACTAACGTGATCATAACTACACGATTGCGCTAACAAACTAAGATGGAATAAGTTCGAGTGTAAAATGTAATGTAAATAGACAGATTAATTGAGGCATTAATTGGGAATATATCTACATCTATTTGATTATTTTACAATTTGTGTTGTTTGACAATTATTACCGGTAAATAAAAAATGTACGAAAATGTTATTAGTATAGGCACTTACTATAGTATATTTTTTAATCAAAAATATAAAGTAAATTTAACAAAGCAGTGGTAGCTCAGTGGTAATGCGCGTACTTGGGAAACCGAAGATTCAAATCCCGGGTGTCGCACCTCTGATATTTTCATGTGCGAATCATTTCCAACATGATTATCACTTATCTTACGGTGAAGGAAAACATCGTGAGGAAACCTGCATGTCTAAAAGAATTAAGTAAGTTTTCAAAAGACACGTGTAGTCCGCCAACCCGCTCTTGGCCAGCGTGGTGGACTATGGCCTGATCCCCCTCGTATTGAAGAGAGATCCGAGCCCAGCAGAGACTTGTTAAAAAGGGGTTGAATACAACTTTAACTAAGAGTTAGAATTTCACTTTGTAATTTATGTGGAATCATGTTTGAAGATTATTGATTATTTACATGCCAAAAATATACACCCAAGTTCTAACCTGTTTTTGCCTAAATCATTCAAAAGTAATAAATAGTTACACTCGCAGTATATTTTGATTGTATTGAGTTACATTTTACATAAAGTAACCGGTAAAAACCGTTAAAAGAGGCTAATAGGTGCGTATTGAGTGATTACTTATTATATATATGTTTGTTTTATAGCTATACATGTAATAAAATTCTAACTTAGTCGAATCTCTACATAAATTTTTTTTGGAAATTCTTATTGAAATAGTTATTATTATCGATGTAGAAGTCGAATCTATAGTTTTTAGAATTTTTGTCTGTCTGTGTGTAGGAAAGCATCACGAGAAAACCACTGGACAGACTTTGGTGAAATACAAATTCAAAATATTTTATTCAGTATTAAATTATTACAATTTTTTACTGAACGTCATGATACTACTACCAGTTCGGAAAGAAGAAGCCTCAGACCTGAGAAGAACTGGCGAAAGATGATTGTAGCTGGTTATCCGGGTCAACATATACATATGATAATTTTTACTGTAGGAAAATATCTCATCTCTGAGAAATCTATACTAACCGTTCAAATGTACCTCGTACGTACTCTTTCTCTTTATAATATTAGTATAGATATGAATACATAGGGACGAACCTGAGAGGAGAGAGGGTGAGTGTCTAGTATAAAATATACTATGTACAAGTTTTTGATATATAAAGTTGTTTATAATAATAATTATTAAATTATATATTAATTGAACATGTGATAAGTATATTAAACGCTATTGTAATTATATTTGTAGATCCGGAAGTATCGGGTTCGAGTAGGCAACGTATAATAGCTATTGAGTTTTCTGTCAGAAAATTTTAAGATCAGACCTCAAGTAGAGTCGACTAATTACTACCGTACTTTATTTTTGTAGCTTTAGTTATAATATCTAAACACCTCAAAGCTTTTTGTGTTCTACTTAAATAGATGCATATATCTTAAATTTTTTTTAAAAATTTGAGTATACTATATTTTGTCTTACACTGGCATCATGTTTAATTTTTAATTTGTACACCTTTGAAGTAGAATCTTATTCAAATGTATTACAAGGAATTCAATTTCTTAAGATGTTGAATGAGAAAATGAATGCAGTAGAAGTGCTTCACGACGAAAGCTGGAATCAGCTCGGCTAACAAGATGTTACTTAGCAGCTCTGAATAAAAGCGTTATAGTAACAAGAGATGAAAGATGGTGTGAAAAGGAATGGGAAAATTTAAAATCTCATATTATTTACTAAGACTTTTCCGTAGCATTTTTATGTTGTTCTCTATTTATGCTCTATAAATATTCGAATTAAACTGACATTTATTATATTTACATTTGAAATCACATATTTTTATTAGATTATTGTACTTGTACGATAATTCTTGCCTGCGGTATGGCATGTTTATTTTTAACCGACTGCGGCGAAGCAGAACGGAAGATTGTTTGTTTGTTCTTTATTTAGTTGATTTAGATATAATATAAGGAAATTATATTTACAGACTATAATAATATATACAACTAGCAAAATTTTCGGCTTTTCCGCGTTCTGACTTTCAATATAAACATCAGTTTTACAATAATGTATGGAAGTCTGGACGATTTGTTGACATTAATGATTACTGCTCCGCTTCCTTAAGTAATAGCATGATGATATATAGCTTCTGGCCTTCCTCAATAAACGGTAATGCACGGTGTAATGCAAAAATATTTTTTTACTCGGATTAGTAGTTCCTGAGATTAGCGCGTTATTACGACATAGAATATTACTAAAATGCACTCTTTAAATTATAGGTTAGATAGAATATTGGAGATAATACTTTCTTAGATTTACGCGAATACTTGACATTTTAAATAAAACTATCTTTTCGGATTTTTTTGCGAATTTATTTTGATTTTTGGTTCCTGACGTTTCGAATGCTTTACAGCATCCAGCGTCGGGAACCAAAAATCAAAATAAATTCGCAAAAAAAATCCGAAAAGATAGTTTTATTTAAAATATTGTAGATGTTAGAAAGCAGCTTTATGTTTCCACAGCTTTCTGATTATAATATACTAGTGTTCGACATTCGTCCATAATCATTATTGAAAATTTCAGTAGAACATAAAATATGAATAGCATTTACGTCATAAGGTTTCTATGCTATTTGTTTTGTTGAAATGAAAATACCAACAAATTGAACTACACTTTACTACTACTTCGAAACGTTTACTGTAAAAATTTTGAAACTCTTTGGAGATTTTTCGTTTAAGATTTAAAGCGATCACCTACGTTTGCGTTTTATACTTTTAGTATACCGCTAGCGACTCGCCCTCGTTCCGCTCGGGTTCGTTCCTTGGTACGTTTTAACGGTTAGTAGAGATTTTCCAGAGATGATAATTTTTTTAAGAGTAAAAAGTATCCTATATGTTGATCTGGATAACCAGCTATTATCATACCAAATATAGTGAAAATCTATCCAGTGGTTTTCTCGTGATGCGTTCCCAGACAGACAGATTGACAAAAATTCTAAAAACTATAGATGCGGTCTCTGCATCGATAATATTTTGTTATTTCGATAAGATTTTCCAAAAAAATATTTAATGTATAGATTCGATTCAAAATTTTATTATATGTATAGATATATAAAAAGTCAACGCGCTATATCTCTTTGATGAAGTTTGACAAAATACTCTTGTAAATCACTTAGGTATGTGAACGGCACGTGTGTAATATTCGAATGTTGTGTGGAAAATAATTGGAGCGAAAAATGTAACGACCATATTTTAAATATGAAATGAATATATTTTAAAAGGTTCATTCCATGCATAATCAATGTTAGTACGCGATATATTTTTTACTAGAACTTTTAGAGCGCAGCTTAAAGCTCTTCAATTATAACGTCGTTTTGAAAAACCTTATACGTATAATAAAATTACAAAATATGTATATTTTTTATATATTTGGAATATATGGGAGAGTAAAACAACTTGAATGAACTAGTATTAGTTTAGTTATTCAAAATTCATGTTGTGAAATTTTAACTTCAAACTATATATATTTTACACGTAGAACGGGAAATGTGATCATGACAGATCAGATATTTTACATTTCCACAAATTTCGATGCTATCAAAGATACTTTTTTATCGTACAGCTATAACTAGGTGTATTGTGTAAGGAATATACAAAAGTTTTTTTTTATGATAATATAATTATATGTATGCGAATATAATACTATGTATGTTAGTGGATTTGAATAAAATAAAAAACCGCAGGCATTAATCAGGCATTAAATATATGGAAGGTAGGAGTTAGAGAGAAAAGTTAAACGATCGCATGGTTATACATTATGTATTACTCTTTATTACATTGTTACATAAAGGCAGTGGGAGCCCAGTGGTAACGCGCTCGCTTGGGAAACCGAGTGAAGCGGGTTCAAATCCCAGGTCTCGTACCTCTGATATTTTCATGTGCGATAACTTGATTACTACTTACGTTACGGCGAAGGAAAATATTGTGAGGAAACCTACATGTCTGAGAAAATCTAACAAGTTTTTAAAAGACAGTGAAGTCCGCCAACCCGCACTTGGCCAGCGTGGTGGACTATGGCCTAATCCCCCTCGTATTGATGTGAGTCTCACTCCCAGCAGTGGGACGTTTAAAGGGGAATACATACATACATACATTGTTACATACCATTTATACGTATATATGACTTCAATTATAAATAGTAAAAATTATAATTAGTGAAAATTACCTAAAGCTTATACCGTTAAAGTATGCATTATATTGTTATTCAATTGATTTTTCCAATCCTTGGAAACCCTTTAGTTATTTCATTATGTGACTCAATATATTAATTTTACTATAAAATTCTCATAGCTTCGCCTCAGTTTACTGAAGTTATTTCTTTGTATATGCTTCATTCTGTTATAAGATGTATGAATTTTAAATGTAAGACATCTACTCGAAGACTATCTTCAGGCAATTGTTCAAAGCATTTCTAAGAAACGTCCCTTTTAGAGCGGTCATATTAGCTTATTTTGAGTTCTTGAATAAGTTTATGTACACGTGCAAACTTTTCCAGTGAAAGAGTCAAGGCTAATAAATAGTAAAAAATTGCGGAATAAATCCATGACAGGTAAAGATTGAAATATTATATTTTCAGGAAACAAAAGAATTGCATTGAATTATATTATATTAGCGACTCACCTTCGCTGCGCTCGGGTTGGTTCCTAGTTACGTTTTAATGTTAAGAATAGGTTTCTTAGAGATAAGATATTTTCCCGCAGTAAAAAGTATCCTATATGTTGACCCGGATAAACAGCTATCATCATACTAAATTTTATCAAAATCTATTGGTTTTTCCGTGATGCGGTCAAATACAGACAGATAAAAATTCTAAAAACTATAGATTCGGCCTCTGATGACGATAATAATGTCTATTACAATTAGATTTTCCAACAAACAGACTAAGTAAGAATATTTTTTTATATGTACCTATAGATTTGGCATCTATACGGATGGGTGTTTGGTGTCCAATGAATATACAAGTACGTACCAGCAGTACTTTAATTTTTCCTTTACTTCGACCCAGTCCGAATTTAATTAATATTTATGCTAAACCAATTTCACTGTCATAAAAAATATTTACATATAAAATCTGAGATATATTTTTTGTTTTAGTTGACTTCAAATAAGATGATGGTAATGGTGTATGGTCTAAACACATGCACTCTGTGTCTTGGAGCGCTGAAGGTGGCAATCGTTATGTGGATATATGGAGTTAAAAGATTCTCAACCGACATTCATTTTTGGTTAGGTTTCAAGCCTACGCCGTTTTGGAAATATATTTGGATGGCGCTCCCTGTTTTTATATCGGTATATAAACTTTACTTATTGATTTATAACTTACTTCCTTGCCTCCCAATACAAAATTTTATCCACATATTGACCCCCTTAAGGGTTGATTTCCGGGATAAAAAGTATTACATGCTCTTCCCAGGGTCTCAAAATATCTTCTTACCAAATTTTATCTAAATCGGCTTACCGGATCTAGAAATTACCCCCTAGAACGTCACAAACTCACAAACTTTACCTCTTTATAATATTAGTATAGATATAAATTTAATCACGTTTGTTCATAGTTGACCTTTAATGATAAGATATTTTAGCTTAAATAAAATAACAAATAGACAAATATCATAGTTCAGTTAGCTTTGTTAGGTGGATATGTTAATGCTATTACCAAATAAATTATAGCTGCTCATGTGTATTATTTCGATTCTGTAATAATCAATCTGGCGTTTAGCATTTAAGTAAAGTTTTTAGAAATATTTTATCAAAATATCAAGAATAGTAAGTGTAATTTGAGAAGTTACAAAAAGATATCAATTTACTATCTTCCAACAGAGTATATAATACTAGTGACTTATTTTCGCTTCGCTCGAGCTCTTCCCTAATGAAAATTGGAAACAAATCTATTCCATGGGAACTGTACATTTTTCAGGATAAAACTAACCTATGTGCTATTTTAGACTATAATCTGTCTCTCTGCCAAATTTTATCGAGATCCGTTTAGCCGTTTTGGCGTGATGGAGTAACAAACATCCATCCAAACTTATGCATTTATAATATTTATGGGATTAAATAATACAATATCAATCGATAAACAAATATATCAACATTACTCCTTAAATTCCACAAGAATATATTTGACTGAAAGTCTTAATTTAATAAAATACAAACAGGGCATACAAATTTTGGCAATGCAGTAAAGTACTACAAAATAAAGTCATATTTAACGTTTTAACTATGGTATCTACGAGTATACTAATATTATAAACAGGTAAAGTTTGTGAGTTTGTGAGGTTGGAGGAGGTAATCTGTGGATCTGCTGAACCGATTTAAACGAAATTTGGTAAGAAGATAGTTTGAGACCCGGGGAAGGACATAGCATACATCTTATCCCGGAAATAATCCTTTAAGGGAGTGAAAATGGGGATGAAAGTTTGCATTGGGAAGCAATATATACCTATATATATATATATATATATATATATATATATATATATATATCAAATAAAGGTAGTTCTCGACGGACATTGACAAGCCATTTAGTGCCAAATTTCGTTTATACTAGTACCTACCTAAACTATTTACATTCGACAAATATTCTTCAGAGGTACTTCTTAGGTAGCGCTTTGTAAGTGATCCTGTGATGTCCCATCAAGACGTGGGAGGTTCCGTTGGATTTAAATGGGTAGTAGTAGTACTGCATTTGTTGGTGAGTCCCCCATAACCATCTTTATATAGGCATGGGACATTCTACGCCAAATAAGGCGGTTTCAAAAAAACAAAATTTTGGATTTTCTTAATATTATGGTATTTTATAGTACCTCTCAAAAGAGGCTTCTTGTTAAATTTTGAGTTTTGTTTGTTTTAGTTTGAATTATATATAGTCGAAATCAATTACAAGTTTGTTTATTCAGAAGTATAATAATTATAGTTCAAAATAGTAGTAGTAACTGAGCCAAAATAATGCTTTAGTCTTAAATAAAATTACCGAAACAAAATATAATGGGTGATAGATCCGGGATTCGAACACGCCTCACTCGGTTTCTCAAGCAAGCGTGTTATCACTGGGCTACCGCTGCCTATCACATGAAATGAACGTGTTAATTTTTTGCCTGCAGTGAAAAAATACCGCATAGCTTTGGTATATATGCATCGTCGGTTCTCAGGAGCCTAAAGAGGAAATTAGAGCAGGAAACAGTTTGAATAGACCTTTCATACAATTTCAGCGGAACAAGTTGCATTTTATTTTTGACTGAATAGAGTAGTTTTGTAATGCTATTTGGTACAATAATATGTTATGTTGTTTGTGCTATGATGCCTTTTAAATAACAAGATTTTATTATTACATTTATCTCTAAATCAAAGTTAATATATGTATCTTTGTTTGTCTGTCTGTTTTTTGTAACTCATATGTTGAAACTTTAGTACATAATATACACCCTCATGACATAGTATCATGAACATAGCTAGGAAACACGCGAATATGATGAATATAACATGACGCGTAAGAAGTACCACATCTTATAAGTTACTAGCATAGCCCGAGGCTCCGCCCGCGTTCAGATGACCAATAACCAAATTCTTAGGTTTTACATATTAGTATACTCTTATAATGCAGTTTTTGTATTTTTTTTCAGAAATAAGATATTTTCCCGTGATAAAAAGTATCCTATATGTTGACCCGGATAACCAGCTATCACCATACCAAATTTCATCAAATCAAAATCACTCCAGTGGTTTTTCTGTGATGCGGTAACAGACAGACAGACAAAAATTCTAAAAACTATAGATTCGGTCTCTGTATCGATAATAATGTTTATTTCAATAAGATTTTCCAAAAATATTTAATGTACAGATTCGGCTTAGTTACAATTTTATTATATGTATAGATAGATTTAGGTACGTACATATGCATATATGTAGCAACTGAGTACATATGTCTGTCTATACACACTTAACGTCTGTTTGCGTAATAAAGGAAATAAGGGCTATTTATTAGAATCGAATAAATATTGAAAATCATTTTTCATCTTTAATATGGTTAAAAGTAAAAGTTTAATGAAACCAATATAATTTGCATTTAATAGCTGTATTGATAAAAAAAATAAATGGCTAATTAATTGAAATATTCCAAGTTTTTTATAGAGAAAATTAATCTAATGAGTCTTATTTTTACTTGGTTGTTTTGTTTATGCAATACGCTATCAATATACTAAATAAATTGAAATTTTTGGTTTGAATGAAAAAATTTTTTCGAGTGATCATCTTTAAAAATATTCAATAATTGACGAATATATTCATTTTCCGCTCAACTTTCACTGTAATACATAAAAGGTAACACGATATTTTTTCTACTTTATATTTTAAAAGTGCAATAATGAAATATTAATAACAATTACAAAACTTATTAATATAAAAAAAAAAGTTAAAAGTTAAATTTAACAAATAATGTAAGGTACTTTGCCGCCATTTTGTATTTTTGTGAGTAGGCTGTATGTAGCAACTATAAAGCTTTTGAGACGCCTAAAACCTTAGTCTCTTCCATGACAATGATTGCTGTAAAGCATTCGAAACGTCGGGAGCCAAAAATAAAACAAAAAAATCTCGAAAAAATTCGATTACTTATATCTCTATTATCGTTGCTATAGAATTAATACTGAAACTTTATAATGCTTAATAATTTTCTCTAATATGATGTTCGATAGTTCCACGTAGCGTAGAATTTCGCCACTAAAACATAACTTTGAACTTAACACTGGATTGTCTGATCGATATTACCAAACAGCGTTCAAGTTTATAGTTTATGTTTACGCGATTTCCTAGAAATTGCATCGGTGGTTATTCGTCGAGCTCGGATCGTATCGGGATTGTGCTTACATAGGTACTCTTGATGTAAACTGATATCGCGCTAAAAGCTTTTACATGTGTTAATTTAATCTTCCTCTTTGTACTGTATTATCTTCTTAATGCTTTGTTAATTATTTTATGTATGTTAGTATTAGCTATATATATATATATATATATGCCCGGGTACGTCTCTAGGTAAGTTTTAATTTGTTTGAGCGTAACACTAATTATGTTTCTGAAATAAAAGTAGCCTAAGTTACTCCTTATAACATCAACTATCTGCCAGTGAAAGTCAGATAGATAGACAGATAAAATATTTAAAAATTGTGTTTTCTTATATGTAATTTCATATGCAATTAGTAAAAAAACAGTTATTTTGTAATTACAAACAGACACTTCAATTTTATTTATCTGTATAGATATCAGGACAAAATAATGGATTTAGATTTCAACAATAATATGAATGTTTAAAATTCATAAATCATAATATTATTATAGGCAATTACTAAAATCTCATAGGTGAAGTAAAAAATAAAAGGATTGTCAATAATTATAAAATAGAAGAAGAAACTATATCGTAGTTTTAGTATCTGATTACTCATTCTCATTAGTCATTATCCACTTAGATTTTTCTTTATTTATGTTTTTGTTGCTGCGTTTTCACTTATTTTACGGGGTTCAATAATTAATTATATATATATATATATATATATATATATATATATATATATATATATATATATATATATATATATATATATATATAATACATAGATTTATTATTCAGTGTTTAAATAATTAAACTTTAATATATACGAGTACATCAGAGAGTACAGTGGTAAATAGATTTCCTATTTTAACACACGTGGCAACCATCAACATGCAACCCAGATATGCGATCTGACAGCGGCCTCTATCTGCGGTAACGTATCCATAACGAGCTTGTCTAGAACATTGAATGCGAATTGCGATGTTAGTGAATATCTATACTTATAATAAAATTCTAACTGAGTCGAATCTCTACATTAAATATTTTTTGGAAAATCTTATTGAAATAGTCATTATTATCGATACAGAGGCCGAAACTATAGTTTTTGGAGTTTTCGTCTGTCTGTCTGTCTGTAACCGCATCACAAAAAAACCACTGGATAGATTCTGATAAAATTTAGTAAGATGATAACTGGTAACCCATGTCAACATACATATAGGATACTTTTTACTGCGGGAAAATATCTCATATCTGAGAAACCTATACTAAACGTTAAAACGTAACAAAACCGAGCGGAGCGACGGTGAGTTGTAAATATGATCTATATTACACTAGCAGAATCCGCAGCTTCACCAGCGTTCAAACTTCTGATCGCAAACAAATTTCACAGGATCACCCTCTTTGCTAGATTTTAATTTAAATATTTAACATACATACACACATCAATTTTTATACATATTTAGATATATGTTATGTATTTTTCTACAATTTCTGTATGTTTGGCTGTTCTATATTGATGCTTCTTAAATTACTAGAGAAGAGTAGATAGCGTTTCAAAATTACCCTTTATTGGCTCCGTAGCCAAAATGATGGCCTTCGGTCACACCTATTTTACTGAGGGAATATTGGATTATGATTACATGGTATTAAATTTGGATAGGGTTTAACATTTAGATTTAGATAAATTTTTCTTTTGGCACGTTTGGAAAAAAATATGAGAGTAAATTTTTTACGATGACAGCCAAAAAGCGACATGATGAAGTTAGCTGCATTCCTTTTACAAAGAGATAGTTGTTACATATGATGAAATCTTTAGCTATTTTCGTTCTTTTATCGTTCTTTTACGCCAAAGAAGTATAACTTCTTACGTGCGTACATAAATACACATACACGCTTTTATTGATTTGTGCTCTTCACATAAAGAAGAAAGTATTGAGGTACGAATCTCTCATCCCACGAGTCAGAAACACGCTTATCAGTTTTTTTTGTTCTAAACTTTAAATCCGCTCAGTTGTAATGGAAGAGTTACAATCAAAAGTCTACTTTATATTTTCTAGTCATTATATACAAAATAGTGCTAACAATTATTTTTCATATATATATATATATATATATATATATATATATTTGTCAAATACACTTAATTATCATATTTTTTCAGGTTTTGGGCTGCAAAAAATTTATTGAAGTAATAAATTTAAATGATACAGATGGAAGAACAGCATCTTTGTCGTGGATAGCTTTAACGTTTATTATAGTAATGATTTTTCAAGCAAAGGTTGTAATTAAACATGTTTTAAAAAATGTAAGCTATATTATGGTTTTTGATACGTTTATTTTTTTTATATCTATACATATTATAAAATTGTAACTAAGTCGAATCTGTACATTAAATATTTCTTGGAAAATCTTATTGAAATAGACATTATTCTCGATACAGAGTCCGAATCTATAGTTTTTAGAATTTTTGTCTGTCTGTCTGTTACTGCATCACGGGAAAACCACTGGACAGATTTTGATAAAATTTGGTATGATGATAGCTGGTTATCCAGGTCAACATATAAGATACTTTTTATCGCGAGAAAATATCTCATTTCAGAGAAAAAATACAAAAACTGCATTGTAATAGTACGAGTATACTAATATGTAAAACCTAAGAATTTGGTTTTTGGTCATCTGAACGCGGGCGGAGTCGCGGGCAATGCTAGTTACTTATAAATGCAACGTATTAAGATAGTGAGGCTGAAAAATTGGTATAGAAACTTTTTGCAGTATGAATATTTATATCTTATCAACAACTATGACAGCAAACGTTGTATATATATATATATGTTACCAAATTATTTCCGTCAAAGAAAATATAATTTATGCAAATAGATTTTTTACTTAAAAAAGCATTTTGCATATAACTCCTCCAGTACTGATGCAGCGTTAATTTTGTTGGAGCGTGCATTTTAATGATCCAATTTATATTCAGAATATAGTTGGCGTCTTAAAAAGTGATTTTAAATACGGACCTCCGGACATAGACGATCGTAAGAGAAGAAGAAATTTTGATGATATTGTTCAAAGCCGACAGTGCAAACACGATTGCTTAGTATTGGATGTAAGTGACAAGTACAATAAATTTAATAGAATGAATTCGCTATCGGATGGAAACATAATCACATAATCTATACATATAGTAAAATTGTTACCAAGCCGAATCTGTACATTAAACGACAGACGACTTAGGTACAATTTTATTATATGTATAGATTGCTTACACTATACTACGTCATATATGTAAAGGACAAAGTGTTGGAAGATTGCGCTAATGTAAAAAAATATGTAAAAATTAATGATCAATTTATGAACAAAATCTCTAAAATACCCTATTTTAAACTATAAATGAAAACAAAAATAATTATGAAAGGTAATAAACACTGTCCAAAACGCGCGGGAAATATAGTATAGTATTTAAAAATATATTAATAGGGTTCTGTCATTTCATTTAATTTTCTGTGATTTAGAAGAGAAATTACTTAGGTTATTGACACCCAGCCTTTGTTGGATAAATGCTTTAGATCTTAAAACTTTTTGCAGTAGAAGAACTGCGTCCCGAGACTTGCATTTTTTTACATGTTATGTTTTTCATGGGATTCATATTTCATTGCACATTTTGAAAAGTTCAATTGAACAAACGTTATATTGGAAATTGCGAAACAATATTTTCAAATACCAATTTCTACGAGAAAACAAAGCTTTGCAAACGGCACAGTATATCAACGAGTATTGTACTAATGCTGAAGGAAGGAATTACTAACAGTTCGTTACTGGTTCAACAGCTTTTGTAGAGGATATTTCGAAGCAAATATTGCCCGGTGCATAAGTTAGCAACCGTACTGTGAGGCAAATCCACTTTTGCCCGATTTCACCAACGTCACCTAAGTTTAAGGGATCCCCTAAGCATGGTTAGGGGGCTGTTAGGGGACAGTTTCTGTTTCAACGACAGTTAGGGGTCAACTAAATATTAAAAGGCCCCCTAAATTTAGTTGCTCGAAATATGGGCTTAAAGACGATCGTAAAATGACATTTAATTTAGGGGCTAGTTTAGGGGACTTTTAAGCTAGGGATCCCATACGTAGGTGGTAGCTTATGGGTTGTTGGTGAAATCGGGCATTTGCCATCAACAGTAGATTCATCTCTAACTACGTCTTATTTGACACAACATTAGCTTATTTACAAATAGGAAGAGAACAAAATGTATAAACTACTTATTATAAAAGGTGCATTCAGGGGTCCACCAAATATGTAGATCGAGATCTTGGACAACATAAAAAAGTCACATTGAAATCCGTACAGCAAATATTGTAGTAAAATAAAACAAGAGATCCTCGAACTCTAAAGAAATATTTAGTGGTGACATTTTAAATAGCACACGGACACACAACTCACTACAAGCTGATTATGAAACATAATTTTACAAAGTACAGACGATATAAATCTGCGATTAAGAGAAAAATAAAGCACAAGCACGAGCGATTAATATCATAGAAAACTTTAAAAAGAATTCCATCCGTAGAAAGCTATTGAAAAGAGAATAAAAAATATCATTATTATTGCACTAGGAGAACCAGCGGCTTCACCCGCGTTCATACTACGAAAAAAAACCCTTTGGCTTTAATTTATATAGCGATTCACTCTCACTTCGCTCGGGTTCGTCCCTATGTATTTATGTAATACTAACAGAATTCGCGACTTTCCTCGCGCTTAAACTACAAACAAATCTCTAAAAAGGTACTTTCATATAAACATTCATCCTCTATTTTAGGTACCCCCTTATAGGATGAATTTTGAAAAATGCTAAAACACGTATTTATTTAATTTTATTGAAGAGTATTAATGCTAATTTTCAAGTGATTTTAATCATAAATACTTTTATAGGATTGTATTATAACGTGTTTTTCCGTGGGAATTAGGTAATGTAACGAAATATATAAATAACTTCAACTATCTCCACACAAAAAATCACGTCAATCCGTCACTCTGTTTTGAAGTGAAAGAAGGATAAACAAACACACTTTCATATTCATAATATTATAGTATGGATGTTATATATACTTTTATAATAATATATGGACTATGAAAGTCTGCCCGATTTGTTGACATTTATGATTACTGCTCCACTCCCTTGTTTAGTAGCATGATGATAAATCCTTCTTTAATAAGCGGGCTATCTTATGCAAAAGAATTTTTCAAATCGGTTAGTGGTTTCTGAGATTAATATGTTAAAAAACCAACAAACTCTGTCTCTTTATAATATTAGTATAGGTTACACTTAATATGCTACGTGTCATTTGAAAGATAATGATAGCATATTATAAAGGACAATTTGACGACACCTTACACGAGTATATATCAAATAGTTCTATCTTCGGAGAGTGCGAAAGAAAAAACATATGAAACTCAAAATCTAACTTTCCTTACATATATATTAGTGGAAATATGCCTAATATTATAGAATCAATCGAAAATATAAATATTTTTGTCGTTTCTCAGTAAGAAAACTTCCGTTAATGAATTGCAGCTACCATTCCTACCTTTACCTAGACCTTGCAACTATAAAGCTTGCTTTACACAAACTTTGAATAAGTTTTTCCAAGTAAAAACTTTAAGTCGGACTAGTGAAGAACTAGTAAGGTCGTGGAGATCTGTGCAGTAAAGTTTTATATCGGGAGTAAAAACTAGAAGTAAATAGCCAATGGGAGCCTTTAGAAAATGTTTCTTGAATATTTCCATTTTATTTTTTAAATTAAAATCTGTTCTATATTTGTACTTGATTATTGAGATGTTTAAATATTAGTATAATAACGACGATATAAAGATAGGCTATATATTAAATTATATAAAGCCTAAAGCCTTCCTCAATAAACGGGCTATCTAATGCAAAAAGAAGTTTTCAAATCCGATAAGTAGTTCCTGAAATTAGCGCGTTCAAACAAACAAACAAACAAACAAACAAACAAACAAACAAACAAACAAACAAACAAACAAACAAACAAACTCTATCTCTTTATAATATTAAGTATAGATTAGAATTTTGTGTTATATCAATATTAAGTTTGTTTAACCTTAAAACTTTTCTCTAAATAATAAATATTAAAACTAAAATTTTAGCTTAACCAAAGCCACACACACACATAGACTAAATACTAATTAAAATCAAAAATACTTCACAACGTATAACATGTATGCTGCTAATTAATAATATTCTACACAAAGAGCGTCCATCATAAAAGAAAAAATAACCTTTAGACTTAAAATTAGGCAATTTATCAATAAGATCTTTTCAATACAATAAAATGTTAATAAAAATATTTGCAATTTTAAAGCGGAAAGGCCGGTGTAATAATAGAGTGCTTAGAATTGTACGATACAAACGTTTTATTTCCAATATTCTTATATAATTGTGTTCCGGTTGGAAAAAAGAAAACGTTGAATTTTATTGTTGATCTTACTTGCTGTGCTAGCGGTCGCGGGTTCGAGTTCTGCTATTGGCATTCATTTGTGTGATGAGCACAAATGTTTGTACTCTAGTTATTGGTGCTTATATTTATAATATGTATATATTTCAAGTTATATAAGTGTAGTGTATGAACTATCTGGTTCCCATAACACAAACCTCGTAGCTTCCCATGGAACTAGATGGTGCTGCAGAGAAAAGCAACAATAGAATAATGAAGAAGTAGAGAAATATTTATCATGTATAGATACAGTAACTGAATTTACAATTTTAAGCCTTAGCTGTTTTATTTTTATACAAAGTTAAACGAACTGTTAACAGCGCATTAGATTAGGTCAATGCATTTTTACACCTACTTATTTATGTTGTTTATTCTAGAGGAATTTATGAATACCATGTTATAGTCTTAGGTTATATTAAATTGTTTGTTTTACCAAAATATATGGGACTAGTGATACACTGGCTTTGCTCGAATCTCACTAACATCCTACATTCTAATTTCTAATGTATATATATATATATATATATATATATATATATATATATATATATATATATATATATAATCCGAAAAAAAAACCAGTTGAAGTCACGCCAGTTTACAGACTATTATCTATATTTGAAAAATCATCTTAATAAATATAGGCTGCATAAAATTAGGATAAACAAACAAACTTACGTATTTATTATATTAAAGTATGGATAGGTAAATATTAAATATAAAAGCTTATAAAGCTTAATATAAAAGCTTACAATTCGAAGTGAAAAGTACCTTTATGTCATTTTAGTTTAAAATTATCCTTTTAATTTTTTTTAACTTAAAATTTCAAACCGTTACGTGAATTATATTAGTTGCATTTTTGAACTTCTTGTTAAATAAAATGAGTCATGTCAAAGTAAATATGTACTACTAGCAGCTCAGTCCCTTCGTCCCTAGGTTGGTACGTTTTAACGGTTAGTATGGAATAATATATATATATATATATATATATATATATATATATATATATATATATATATATATATATATATATATATAATTCCCAGTGCCCTCATGTCTAAGAAAGCTATGAAATAGTTCTTGCATTTTTATCTATCCGGTTATCACTTTTGTTAGCACGACTAGCGCGAAATATATAAATTAATTTAAAAGCTTAATTTGATGACACGTTGACTCAGTTTGTAGTGACCTTACTTGCTGAGCCAACGGTCGCGGGTTCGAGTCCCGCTGGGTCCATTCATTTGTGTGATGAACACGATTGTTTGTACTCCATTATTATATTTATAATATGTATGTATTTAAAGATATCTAGTATCCATAACACAAGGCTCGTAGCTGACCATGGAACTAGATGGTGCTGTGTGTTAATGTCCCAATATTTTTATTTAAAATTATTGCTTATTTAATTGACAAATTTTATGTTAATATATTTTTCTTTTCAGGAAATATATGAGTGTAATCACTTACCTCTTATATTTAGAAGCAAAACTGGTGCACCAAGTTCAGAATCATCATTAGCGAACATATACGTTGAGTCGTTGACCAAAAAGCATTCGAGTGTTTTAGACGTGTCAATGTTACATATGAATTAATTCTGTTTAGGATAAATAATAGCAAAATAAAATATTTTCTGGATATAAATGTTTTAATTTATAAGATGTTATTAGTTTAAAGTATGTATGTTTTAACATCCTACTGCTGGGCACGGGCTTCCACTCGATGGGAATCAGGCAATAGTACACCGAGATGGCTAAGTGCGGGTTCGCGGATTTCACGTCATGTCTTTCAAAAAACTTGCTAGATTCTCTCAGATATTTAAATTGTAGGTTCCCTCGCGATATTTTGTTTTATCTTAAGGCTAGTGGTAATCACTTAGAAAATGATTCGGCCTTAGAATATCAAAGGTACGAGACCCAGGATTTGAACCCGCTTCACTTTGTTTCCCAAACAAGCACGTCACCACTGGGCTACCACAGAAGTATAATTAAATGCAAAAAAAAAAACTATTGTTATAGTTGATATTTAGTAAGTTCATATTAATAACTAGCGACTCACCCTCACTTCGCTCGGGTTCGTCCCTACCTTTAAAGGTTATTATAGATTTCTCAAATATGTGATGTTTTCCCGCAGTTACAAATATCCTATATGTTGACCCGGATAACCAGCTATCACCACACACACCTATTTAAATGAAATTTTGTACGGTGGTACCTTATATCCCCAGTCAATATTTTAGATACTTTTCATCCCGGAAAATAAAAGAGTTCCCGTGGTATAGTTAAAAAACTATAGTAACTTAAACAGCTTATTACACAAAAACTACTGATTGGATTTTAATGAAACTTTACAATAATGTAGTTTATATTTAAGAATAACAAATAGAATACTTTTATCTAGCAAAATGTACGGTTCCCGTGGGATAGATTTGCTTTTGTTTGCTTTGAGGCGAACCCGAGCGAAGCGAGAGTGAGCCGCTTGTCATCACATAAAACTCCTCCATAAACACCAATTGTAAGTTAGAACTACGAGTATTGTGTCATGAAACAAAAAGAAAAAGCAGAAATCAAATCGCGAGTTAAACTGAATTCTACTTCCATTCGTTTTTCACACAAACGAAACTCAATGTGAAATAGACGAAGGTGACTTTTGTGTTGCCACACGTTTGTGGCAAGTTTTATACCTTTTATTCCTTCTAGTTGTGCTTCTTTATATGTTTTAGTTTTATTATAGGTTTATCGATTTTACTATACTTGTAAAAATGTAACATGGTCAAGCTGTAGTACTTTTTATGTAGCTAAGGAATCCTCATTCATCCCATGGGGTATTTACCCGCCGTCAACGGACAGGGGACTGTGAGTCTCCTACTCATTTAAACGTTTATGTGTTACTTCAGATAAAAGTCTGTCTATTTACTAAATATTATACAAATTCATCAAGCCTCTTCAGCGTAAAGAAGTAACAAACATACAAACACACACCAACTCTTCGATTAAATTAAAGCTAAGTTTCTACTAATACTGTAAATAAAATTATAACGTAGATAGTTGTTTTGTAGTTTAAATGTTTATCTAATTCTGAAGCTACACAGAAGTCCAAACTGTTACGTGTTTAACAAACGCAAATATCAGTCTTCAGGAGAAGCAATTTATACATTTGAATTGAGGCATCCGCTTTCCAAGAATCCGACCTACAAGTATGAAGAAAAAATTCTTGTATCAAAGGAATATACTTGAGTACTCGTATATTCATAATCTATATATGTATGTTTATTGTATATAAAAATCGATTGCCGTTCGTTAGTCTCGCTACAACTCAAAAACGGCTGAACCGATTTGAATTATTCTTTTTTGTTTTGAAGGGATATTTAGGAGTAGTTTAAGCACAAAAAATAGGGAAATCCCAAAAAAACCCAGCTGGAAAATCAAAAAGTTTAAAACTGGTTTTTTTGTACAAAAAAAACTCCAACAAGTTAGGTTTCATACTTACTTTTATCCCCTATTTCACCCCCTTATGGGACGAATTTAGAAAAATGTACATATTTATTTAATTGTATTGAAGAGTAATAATACCAAGTTTCAATTAATTTTTGATAATAAATAATTTGCTTTTATTTTGATAATAAATAATGTACATTTTTTGGGTTGTTTTATAACATATTTCGCGTTTTCCATTTTTTAATACTTTTGCATTAACATTTATATCTTCTATTACTTTATATGGTCCTAAATAAATGCTTTTACTTTTATCATTTACTGTATTTCTAATTAAAATTAAATAATCTTTACTATAGCTAACTGTAATAATAATAATAATAATAATATTCTTTATTGTACACCAAAAATAAATATAAAATAAAAAAAAACAACACATAGAAAAGATGCACAGCAGGCGGCCTTATCGCTGGAAGCGATCTCTTCCAGACAAACTTGAGGTGGAGTAGTAAATGTTCATAAAAACGGTAGGCGGTGTACTTGCTTTAACACGTTTACTATATATAAATACTTATAGATAAATAGATACATACATACATACTTACATACACTAACTGTATTAACGTATTTATCATAATTATTTTTTCTTATTAATTTACTCTTAAACAAATTTTCTCTAGCCTCTTTTTGTGCTATTTTTAACACATACTTAAGTTCTATGGCATAGTCTTTCGAATCGTTTAACGGCTCTATATATCCACCTCTTAAATTAGTTCGCATGTTACACGATTTTCCAAAGACTAACTCATGAGGCGTATACTTCGTTTCCGAATGTGTTGTATTATTAAACGCAAGGCACCAGTATGGCAACCAGCTACTCCAAGAATCAATTTGATTCTCTGACTGAATCCTTAAATACGCACCCACAGCCTTGTGAGAGTTCTCCAGAGCGCCGATACTTTCGTGGTGATAACCTGTTGAAGTCACCTGTGAAACTTGTAATAATTTACAAATCTCTGTCATCGTCGAGGATATGAACTCCGATCCACGATCCGTAGCTATTTCTTTAGGTATGCCATATCGAAGAACAAAATTCTCAACAAATGCCCTCCAATGGGTATGCCCCTATAAATTTTGTTATCTCACATTGCAATATCAAAATATAAACATAGTCGTCATTGCCTTTACCGATAGGTCCGACTATATCAAGAAATACTTTTTTTACTTCAAAAGCTGATTTCGCAGTTGTAGTTACTAACCATAGGTTGTTTTGTCTTAATAGAATGTTTTTGCTTTTGACATTTATCACATTTGTTGGCAAATTCACGAATATTTTTAACCATACACAAATATTATGAAACATTCGCCTAGTACCCGTGGCCCGAACCACTTAGAAGTTTCTCTTATTTTTTGGTCAACCCTTTAATAAAATTTTCATTATGTTTATTTTGTATACTGCATACCTCATTTATTTTTATTATTTCGCATAAAGACTCTAAATCACTCACTAGCACAGCTCGCGTAGATAGCGATTGAGAAGTAGGAACGAAATAAATAACACCTTTAGTAGGTACGAATGCAAAATTATTTAATTCAGCTTCAATAAGACCCTTTCTTCGTAATTAATTTAGTTTAGATTTAGTCGTCAAAGTCAGTTCAATAAAATTTCTTGGTTTTTTAAGAATTTCAATGATTCGCGAGTGATCAGTCCTCGAATTATTTTTAACATTATCGTCATAATCAGTCGACGTTTTGTCACTAGTCTTGTATTGTCCTGAATTATGTAATCGTCTTAACTGTACTCTTGTCATTACATTCATTACCTTTTCACACATCTCTTTCAGTTCATTTGATGATACAATCACACGTGACAATGCGTCTGCAGCCACATTGTCGCAACCTTTCACGTATTCCACAGTAAAGTCATACTCCTCAAGACAAAGTCTAAATTTTGATAACCTGCTTGAAGGATCATGCATACTAAATAAATAAATTAAGGGTTTATGGTCTGTTTGGATTTTAAAATGCCTACTGTATAAATAAGGTCGAAAGTACTTGACGCTCCATACTTAAGTTAACAATTCTTTTTCTATAGTAGGGTAATTCATTTCTGCCTTGTTTAGACTTCGATTTGCATAAGCTATAGGTAGGTCATCACCGTTACATAATACTGATCCGATTGCAATACCAGATGCGTCAGTCTTTAATATAAATGTATTTTTTGAAAAAATTGGATATTGAAGTATTGGGGGAGATACTAACGAGCAATTTAATTTTTGAAATGATATTTCACATTCATCTGTCCATATAAACTGTACGCCCTTACGATAAAGACTATTAAGTGGATACGCTATCTGTGTAAAGTTGGGTATAAATTTACGGTAAAAGTTTGCAAAGGCTGTAAATCTTCGTACTTCATCGGCATCATTAATTTTTGGAAAATTTCTTAACGCTTTAACTTTATCTGGATCCGGTAATATACGTTTATCTGAAACCCTATGATACACCTACCCTATGATAGATGTGCCTGTATCTATCAAGCAGCTTAATGGGTGTTCATTAACATAAAAAAATAATTTATTAATACTAGCACAAGTCAAGATATAATTAGGATCGAAAAAAATGATTCAACAAATCCCTAGTATCCCCATCGTTATCGGCATTGTTATGGGTCATTACATTAGTGTTAAAGTTAGGTTTATTTTGACGGTACTTACCTCTATACGTACCATGGATAGGTTGACCACTACAGAAACCTCTATTGGGACGACGATTACTAATTTGCTCTGGAGTATGATACCTATTCTGAACAGGGAACGAAAAGGGACTATCATTACATTGAAAAGCCTTACCTCTTCCACGACCTTTTTGCATTATATAGCTCGACGCAGAGGTAGAAGGTAACTCTAACTCCTCATCCTCTGCAGCGCGTATGGCATCCTTCAAGGAGCTATAGTCAGGGCTGCTATAATGGTGCTTAGACGTTTATTATTAAGACCATTAGAAAATATACTTATTGCCATTTTTTCGTTTACTGGGCGTAAAATATCAAAAGATGTTTCATTTCCATCTGACTGAGAAATGGTAATGTCGACAAACAATTGTTCAATTTCTGTACCGAACTCATTAATAGATTCCAAGTTTTGCTTAATTGAATG